AGCACTGGGTGTTGCACGGAAACCAATTTGACAATAAATTATATAAAAAATAAAATAAAAATAAATGGCTATTATATTAATTAGAAATATATGAATCTTGATACAGCAAAAGTGCTAAGTCAAGAAACCCACAGTAAAACATGATTGTTTCCTCTGCAACAGATACCATCAACTCAGAGTATACTGGGGCTTCCTGTCCCCTTCCCCTCCTGGGACATTAAGGACACAAATCTGTATCAGCAAGTCTACTGGCAACATGTTTAAACAGCTTGCATCTCAGAAAACATGATCTTGCCAGCTCAAACCGGGGTCAGCCTGCTGTCTTCCGCCTGTAGAGGAGGGAGAGGAGGGGGCAAAGTTGTCTATGAAAAGCAGTCCACTCCCACAGATTTCTGGAAAGAGACCCTTTGCAGAACAGACATCTGTCAGATACACTGCAGTTCTCAAAACCAAAGTTTCTGTTTTGTCTTAGAACTCAGGTAGGACACGTGAACACAAGGAAAACCTTCTATGACACTAGGGAATACTGGTCCACTAGCTTCGGCCAGCCACGTTGCACTTTTGTTTTAAGTGGTAAAGCATGAGCTGTCAGCCTGATTTAACCCACTGTATGTCCTGGAGGTATGGAAAAGATCTGTTAATTCAATTAATTCATCTGTGAGAATGTGTAAGAGAACATTTAATTGCCCGCACACATTTTCTTCAAAGGATTTTATTTCTGGCCATGGCTGTCCTCCCCAGCCTCTAAGCCAGCACCACGGAAGTGTGCCCATCCCATCCCATGTCCCTCTCCCCATTCCACGCCTGCTCTCCAAAGACACCACTCCTACTCGCTATTCTCAGGACTGAGGTGCACAGACACTGGCAGATGCAGCCGTTGTTCAGGGTACATACTCCGTAAATGTTTGATCAAAGTACTGAGAGTGGTAGCTGCCAATAGGATTTATTAACTACCTACATGACCAGTGCTACTTTGTTCGCTTAAGTTAACTAGTCTGGAATCCATCAGTTTGAAGGACATGTCCAAATAAATTTAGGTTTTTCACAGTAGCATTACCCCTTTTGACCACTGGGATTTAGGGTCAACTGAAAGCAAAAACACCGGAATCTCGCTATGATCTTTCTTGAGGATGAGATTAAAGATTGGGTAAAAGGCTTTCAGAATAGAAAGATAAGAGCTGTCAAAGACAAAGAGGCTGGGGTGGATGATGAAAACACTCTCCTGTCCTCACATAAACACTTACTTGCCGATATTTTCAGGCAGGGACTGCAGGGAGATGTCATTTACAGAGAGACATGTCAAATTCTGTAATTCAGGAAAGCTTTCTGGCAATCTGAAACAGCAACAACAAAATGTTAATTGAAAAAGAAAAGTGCATATAGAGTGTACACCAGACACAAATATAATGATCTCTCCCATATTCTCACTGAAATAACTTAAAATTACATTTTAAGTGGCATATTTGCCTGGTCTTCCTATATAGAAGACATCGATAAGGAAAGAAGCCAAGACTCAGTTTACCTAGAAGTACAGAGGCATGAAAAATACTTGATGGGGTGATCCAGGAATAATTAACCCAGGAAAGATACACAAGCTCTAACACTAATTTAGCCCAGAAGATTATAATAAAACACAGGACAGCAGCTTAATAATGGCTTTTTTTCTGTAGATTATAATAGCCAGAGCAAAGCTATGGATTACTTAGAACTGATCAATTGACAGCAATTGCTACTTTCTTAATAATTTTCTTTTAACTTGATTTAAGATGCCAATCACTTGAGATAATTATTATGCTTCACTATGTTCTACACAAAAGGACATTCTTTATACTTCCCTTAAATGCTACTGAAGAGTGAGGTTTTCAAAATAAAAGTATTTAAAAACTTACAAAGAAAGTTTACTTTCAGTATTTCTATGGTTACCTCCAGTTAGGGAGGAAAAAAAAATAGGGTTAAAAAGATCTCATTGCTTCTAAAATGCCAAAGGTCCTTATACATAAACCTACTAATACAGACAATAAAACATAGAATTCATTGTTTCAGGTAGGAATGAGGAGGGGGGCTTCTTGCTTTAGTGATAGTCTCTACATTAGAATCTTTCATTTCATTCCTCTTTCTAGGTTCCGTTTTTAAAAAGAAAACTCTAGGGGCACCTGGGTGGCTGGGTGGCTCAGTCGGTTGAGTGTCCAACCCTTGATTTTGGCTCAGGTCATGATCCAAGCAATGGTGGTAGGACTGAGCCCCAAGCTGAGCATGGAACCTATTTAAGATTCTCTCTCTCTCTCTCTCTCTCTCTCTCTCTCTCTCTCTCTCTCTCTCCCTCTCTACCCCCACCCCCTTCTGGCCCTCTCCCCCACCCTTGCTCTCTCTCTTTCTCTAAATAAATTTAAAAAAATAAGTAAATAAAAATTAATAAAATTTAAAAAATAATAAGCAAATTCTATGGTACTATTTCACATATAATATAGGTAATTCCAAACTTCAAAAACAAATCCAGGCCCTGCAAGATGAGAGTTATAGTCCATTATCACTGAAACACTTTCTACAAAGTTGAAACCTCTTTCACAGTGTAAGAGAAGATTTTTTATTCATATTTAAAAAGATGCAACTTACCTGCTGCCTGATTTTGTACCGTAAAGTACGTATCATTTTACAATTTTAAAAGTAGCTAAAATGCTCTTAAATATAAGGAAAAGGTATTTTGAAATAGCTGATTTCCTTTTTTATGAGCTGTTCACGTTAAGAGCCAAGCCACTGTGTGGGGAGGAAGCGTGGACGGCAGGCTAGGAGAAAGGAAGTCTAGCCGGAGCTGCCACTCAGAGGCTGCGTCATCTCAAAAGGTCATTCAGTCTCTTTCAGCCTCGGTTTCTTCAGCCATAGCATAAGCGGGTCAACCCAAATCGTTTTTAAGGTCCTTTCAACTCACAGATAAGTTGTCCTAATTCTTAAAGGAGTACACCTGCCAAATCAAAGACTTGACTTTAAGAAACCTCCCAAATATGAGGCCAGGAGAAAAACGGAGTAAAGCCTCCTACAGGGTGGGTGTGTTCTGGTCGGAGAGTTTTGAGAGAATGGTAAAGCCATGTGTCAGCAGACATTAGAAAAGGAAAACTAAAGAGGTAGAAAAGGGGATTAAGCAATTGAATGGCAAAAAAAAAAAGTCCTCCAAGGCAGCATAATAGTATTTCCCAGCTGCCTAACCCTACAAGCTGCCTTACGGATAAACAGCTTAGTTCAGTTCAACAGCCATTTAGAAAGTACTTATTCCATTCCAGAAATTAAGGTAGGGCTGGAGATAAAACAATAATAGAAGAATACAAGTAAACTTTCTCAGTCTAATTGGGGAGTCTTGGTCAAGGTGATAACTCAAATGTAAATTTCAAGGGGTTTGCCTGGGTGGCTCAGTCAGTTAAGAGAATGACTCTTGGTTTCAGCCCAGGTCATGATCTCACGGTTCGTGTGTTAGAGCCCTACACCGGGCTCTGTGCTGACAGCTCAGAGCCTGGAGCCTGCTTCAGATTCTGTGTCTCCCTCTCTCTCTGCCCCTCCCCTACTCGTGCTCTGTCTCCCTCTGTCTCTCAAAAATAAATAAACGTTAAAAAAATTTTTTTAATAAAATAAAATGTATAAATTTAAAGTGTTAGGAAAAAGGTATGCTCAGAGCATAATGGAAGGCCAGAGGAGGGGACTGTGCAGAGTAAGAAAAGACTTCCCAAAGAAGTGTAATACCCACCCACCCCCCACCTTGTACACCTTACAGGAGTGCAAAAAGAGGAGAGTGAAATAAATAACCTATGAGCACTCTGTAACAGCAGAGCCTGACGTCTGACACAGGCAACTGAAAGCAATGAACATGGAAAGATAGGCCAAGGTCAGATACAGGGCAGGGAAGGCTGCATAGCACCTGGAGGAGACGCCACTCTATCGTATAGAAACAGGGAGCTCCAGAAAGGTTTGAAGAAGAGGGACAACTGTGTGGACCATGGTTAAGAAAGAAGACAAGACTTGAGGACAGAGATGAGTTAGAGCTTACTACGTTTACTATTTTTCATAAAAATAGATGTTATTAGTAATATAGTCACTGAAATTCAAAAGACAAAAATAAAAAAGAAATTTGTTTAATGTTTATTTTTGAGAGAGCAACAGAGCATAAACAGGGGAGGAGCAGAGAGAGGGGTAGACACAGAATCCGAAGCAGGCTCCAGGCTCTAGGCTGTCACACAGAGCCCGATGTGGGCCTCAAACTCACAAACCATGAGATCATGACCTGGGCTAAAGTCGGACGCTTAAGCGACTGAGCCACCCAGGCGTCCCAAAAGTATTTTGTAAAACACATTGACTTCAGGGTGTCTAGAGTCGGTTAAGCATCCAACTTTGGCTCAGGTCATGATCTCAATGGTTTGTGGGTTCGAGCCCCGTGTCCAGCTCTGTGCTGACAGCTCAGAGCCTGGAGCCTGCTTCCGATTCTGTGCCTCCCTCTCTCTCTGCCCCTCCCCCAGTTGCTGGCTCGAAGCGCTCGCATGCGTGCGCTCTCTCTCAAAAATAAATAAACATTAAAAAAATTTTAAAAATAAAACATTTACTTCTTAAAAATAGCAGAAATGGCAAAAGCAACACTAAATGGGCATTCTCCAGCACTCCATACCCAAGAAGACCCAAGTAATTTTCATATGGGCAATATGTATCCCAAATTTTAATCTCATCTCAATTTTCCTATATGCTTAACAACAACAAAAAAAAAAAAAAGCAGAAGGGAAGAGGGAAAAGTACCTTTCTCCTGAGGTTGCTAACAGAGTTTAGAAATCTTAGATATAAACCTACTTGGCCTAGAGACACATCTGGAACTTTTCCTGAGGACCATCTCTGAATTGCCAGGTAGGCAACAATTCAGCTAACCTGGCAACACAGGAACCTGGAAGCCAGTTATCAGTGGCCTCATGACTGAGCCAGGAGCCACGAGGAGGGTGGCTCAGCTGTGCCCAGGCAATGTGCTGCGTCATACCAGAACGGGCAAGGCTGGAATCGGTAGTAAAACAGTGATAAGGTGGCTTTATTTAGAGGAATAAACCCAAAGAAATCCTCACAGCTATCGCTAAAGTAAGGAAATAATGGTGTTGGCAGAGTTGTTTGTTTGTTTTAAAGGGAGAATTAGAGGAAAGCTAAGATAGTAATATGTTTCATTACTGGGGTGGAAAAAATATCCCTTATTAGGACTTCTCCTTGGATAACTATAGGGGAAGCTCTCTGGGAATTCAGAACTCAGTCTCATCCTACAAGACAACATAAGCAATAGAGGATTTATGAACTACTCCAATGTTTCATACTGCTTGAGAAATGCACTTCTCACTCCTGTTTTGTCCACTCCACTGTGCCTCCCCTGACCCCCTACCAATATCCTTTCAATGTTCCATCAATAGCACAGTGTGCCCTTCATTACACAGTGCTATTTATAAATAAATCTCTATGAAGGTCAATCATCCTTGATAAAGACAGCCATCCATCTAGGTACCTACACAATGGGTAACCAGGTTGTATTCATGGCTTGGTTCCCAAAAAGGATATCCTTAGTACTACATACAGAAAAGCAAGCAGAAAGGTTACCTCGTCAGTGGATTTCCGCTGAAGTCAGCTATCTGTAGTGCTTTACAGAATGAGATGCTTTCTGGAATTTCAGGAATATCTGTAGGAGCAAAGAAAACATCTGTCATTTACCACCATTGTTAATAGTTTTCACCATCCTCAAGATGGACCACAGTGACAAGAGAATATCTAGTAAGTACTATCTCTATTCAAATGTGGCATGGATTTCTAAAGTATTTTTCTACAATTCTTTAAACTTGCTTTCCTTTAAAAAAAAACTTGCTTTCCTAATGGAAGATACATATTCTGAGTAGAAGCACATTAAAGAAAAAAATATTAAAAACAAATAACACACATGGATGGACCTTGAAGGCATTATGCTAAGTTAAATAAGTCAGAAAAAAAACAACAACAACAATGTATGAACTCACTTATATGTGGAATCTTAAAAACGAAACTAAAAACAACACACAAAAAAAGAGGTCAGGCTTGTGGTTACAAGAGGCAATGGGTGAGGGAAGGAGAAAAATTGGATGAAGGTGGTCAAAGGTACAGACTTCCACTTATAAGAAAGATTAGTAGTAGGGATGTAAGTACAATATGGTGACTACAGCTAACACTACTCTATAATGTATTTAAAAATTGGTAAAGGAGTAAATCCTATGAGCTTTCATCACAAGTAGAAGATTTTTTTTCCTTTCTTTTTTTTCTTTTTACTGTAACTATATGAGATGATGGATGTTAACTGAATCTAATGTGGTAATTATTTCATGATATAGGTAAATCAAACCATCATGCTGCACACCTTCAACTTATACAGTGATGATTGTCAATTATTTCTCAATGAAACTGGAAAAAACAAACAAACAAACAAACACCACCACCACCAAGTCCCATCACCCTACCAAAAGTCATTGATGGCATTCTGTCGTAATTCCCATTCAGCTTTTTTTTCTTACATGTTCACATAGTTGTATCAGTACACTGCATTCTAGAGTATGCATTTTTAAATTATGGACTTTCTCCTTCTGATTATAAGTGTAACCATCTGGAAAATTCAGAAAAGTCCAAAGAAAACAAAAACCACCAACATTTCCATCACCCAGAGATAATGTTTTACTCTGGTTTTTTTTTCATTGTCCTCATATACATGCACACACACAGTGTGTATAAACATGTTATATTTCAAAAAACTGTAAGTTCATGCTGATTTGGTTTTTTCCACTGCACATTTTACAAAATCTTTCCTGCCTTTATTTGTCCAAACAGTTTGCCATTTTTCATGGCAGAAAACCCACTGCATACATTTTCAGACTTCATTTAATCAATCTCTTATTGCTGGACATTTAGGTTGTTTCCAAGTTCCTGATGTTATATTTATATTTATATCCATTTCTGATTATTTCCTTAGGCTAAGCTCCCAGAATTGTGATTACTGCATGGAAGGCATTAACAACTGTACAGTCCTTGATAAGTACTATTAAATTGCCTCAGAGGAGGCCAAGTTATATCTATTTATACTTCCATCACCCTGCACAAGGTGTCCGATTCAACATCTCTCCTCCTCCTTTCTTTCTCTTACACTTTCAAAACTGCCAGTATTATTAGTAAAAATAGTCTGGCAACATTTTGTTTTATATTCCTTTCATTACTAATGAAGCTGAATATTTTTCCCTATGTTTACTGGTTACTAAATATTATGAATTTAAAATGACCAAAAATTGTTAAAATTCCTCTTTCTCTTGGCATGAAATGTGGGGTTATAGCTTTTAGGGCTTTAAAGGTTTATTTCATAGCATTTGATTTCAAGAATACATTTATTTTGGACATACTAATATGAAGAAGGACTAAACAGAAAAGGTTCTCCTGGTCCCATGAGGTTTCTTCTACTAGTTCTACAAATGCAAGCTGAGCCAAAACATACTTACTGTTTCTAAACTAGGGGTGGCAGAGGGAAGGGAGAAATCAGGGGGGGAAAAGGATGCCCTTCTCCAGCAACCACAAAGTAATCAGAAGCTCCATAAAAGCTTTTCATTCAAATTTAAAAGCCAAAATCATTTAAGTTTGTGGTAACATTCTCATCACACTATTCTCTGCCTTGTACGGTCATATGAGGTAGTAAAGAGCAAATACTCTGATCCCAGTTTCATAAATATAATAGCTATACATACATACACACATACACACACAGTTGAGTCTGGAATGGATTTTTAGAATTTCTTTTTAAAGTAGGCTTCACACCCAGTGTGGAACCCAATGTGAGGCTTGAATTTACGCTGGGAGATCAAGACTGGCACTGAGATCAAGAGCCTGATGCTTAAGTGACTAAGCCACCCAGGTGCCCCTGGAACGGATTTTTAAAATACACAAATATTTGTGGGCCCTGAGGTACAAATACATTGGAAGGCCCTTCTACATACATTACCTTATTTCATCTCAAAATAAATTATTTTCATTTCCATTGTACAAAATGGACACTAAGGCTCAGAGAGATGAAATGACTTCCTCATCATACAGGACTATCTCACTGTTTGACCCTCCCATGCTGGGATCACAGAACTGTTGTGCTTAAGAATGAATGAACATCCATTACAAAGTAAGCACTGCTTTCCAGGCAAGCAAGGAAATGACACACCATGGCTTTCCTTGGTCTGAAAGATGCCGGTTGTCCTGTGCAGTCCATGACAGTCCCTTTTATGCCACTACTTCAGGTCTTGGTGACCAGTTTTTATAAGACTGAGGAAAGAGGTGCACGTGCCATACTAGTTACCTCACAAGTGCCGAAGAAGATCAAGCCAGACACATAAATACAAACTTTACAGCAGCTTGCTGCTCTATCCAAGACAAAAAAAAAAAAAAAAAAAAGCATAGAAACAGAGCAAGAGAAAAATGTATGTCCATTAGATACAAGTTTTTAACACTCTTCACACCTGAAGCTTGGGAAGATGGCCTATCAAGGAAACACATGAAAAGTGGCTGTGAGAAACTCTGATCAGGACTGGGCTAGAATCTGGAGATCTGAGAGTAACAAAAACAATTGCCAGAGAATACAGCTGGACTCAGTCCACACAAAGCTGACAGAGAGAGGTCTGGCTCATAGGAAGGCATTCGCTCCTTAGGATAACCTGCTTGCATACACAGGGGAAGTAGCAAATCGGCAAACAGAACACAGGTCTCCTGACTCCCAAGACCATTTCTTTCCATCATGTGCACATTCTGAACTTGGAAGAAAAAGAAATGTATTTGCTTGGAAAAAAAAAGAAAAGAAGAAAGGAAGGAAGGAAGGAAGGAAGGAAGGAAGGAAGGAAGGAAGGAAGGAAGGAAGGAAGGAAGAAAGAAAAAAGGTATAGGCAAGGAAGTCAATGATGTGGTGTGAAGAGTCCTGAGTACCAGTTTGCTACAGGTTACTAAAAATATAAGAATAAAAAACTAAAGGAGGAAAACATCTACTTATCCTTACATACCCAGCTAAAATGTCATATCCTCAGGGCCATGTTCCATGAGTCCCAAGATGAGGCTGGATTCCCCCACTCTCAATTTCCTCAGGCTTCACCTTTGTGAGATCTGTTACAGTTTTAACTAACCGGTGACAGTCAATCTCCCTTTTTAAACTCTAAGTTCACTGGAAACAAAGATATTGTTGGTCTCGTCTGTCGCTGTTCCCCTAAAGCTGACACAGAAATGAGCTTAAGCTTTGACACAGGTGCCAAATGAGTGAATGAGAAGCTAATGAATAAGTCTCTGCAAGAACAGCTGCTCTCTCACTTGAGTCATGAAATATCCCCATAAGGTCAGGATTATCTTCATTTTACCACTAAGAAAATTGCTTAGTCCCAGATCTCTGACAAGAGGGAGTATAAAGCTTGCGGGTTATTCCCAGCTGAAATCCCCTTTGACTGATTCTTAAATGTCTTCCTCAGGACAAATATGAGGTGTGAGAATAAACATAGGAAAAAAGTATATAAATAGCACCTTCTCAATGAAACCCAGGCTGACCACCAACCTCATTAAAAAACTAATTTGAATTTTTTCCCCCATACCAATTCCTACATTCAATTTCCAATCTTTCTCATATTCTCTAATTATTTTCCTTAGCCATCTTTTTCTTCCCACTCCTATTATTATCAACTTAGATCAGGCCCAAATCATCTAGATGACTATAATATCCTCTTAAATGATCTCTCCCTGTATCCACTTTGTCCTCCATCAAATCTAAAGAGACATAAGAACAATCTGCACCAGTTTTCCACATTTACTAGGCTTGTGCCCTCAGACAAACTACTTAACTTACCTGTGCCTTAATTTCCTTATCTGTAAAATGGATCACCAACAGACAACTTTTTTAATTAATGCTAGCACATCATACCTTCAGTGCCTCATTAAGTTTAATAAAGAAAAGAGAAAATTAGACAAAGGACACTCACACTTTGAACAAAATAAGAGCAGAGGAGAAACCAAGTACAAATGGGACACTGAATGCAGTAAGGAGAGGGTAAGCCCTGGGAAAAGACAGATATGCCTGAACTTCAGGATATCAATATGGGAGTATCTGGAGAGAAGACTGTTATCTTTTGATAGCAGATTACCAAATGCTAGGTTGAGATGTTTACAATTACTTTGCTAGACAAGGGGTTCCCTCTTCTATAAAAAGGGGATAATCACCTCCAGCTTAGGGCTATCTAAGGATAAAGCAGAGTAGCATGAATAAAAGCACATGGCACTCTGATCTCTCTCATTAATATTTAAGAGAGATCAGGAGAGAGGACGACTGGTTTCCATTCAAGGCCAAAAATTCTGAAGAAGGGTAGCATTATTAGTAAAGATGAGAGGATTTAGAGGGCTTTTGTGGTTGTTTTAACTATCTGAGAAGCAGTAACGATTAACCCCTAAAGAAATATCTATTTACATAAAAATATTAGAAATAATTAATGAGATTTTCATCTACTCATTAAGGAATGTACCTCAAAACTTCTACTTGCCAATATTCAGCTTAGTTTTGTTTCAATATAGAGTGAAACAAAAAAAAATAATAATCATCATATTTTTCATTAATTCAAACTGGTTTTTGTCTCATACATGTCTCAGAATAAAAGCATAAAA